TTTTTGTATTTTTAGTAGAGATAAGGTTTCACCATGTTGGTCAGGCTGGTCTCGAACTCCTGATCTCGTGGTCTACCCACCTCGGCCTCCCAAAGTGCTGGGATTACAGGCATGAGCCACCACGCCCAGCCCCATCTTGTTGACTTTTAAGCCAATTTCTTTTCCTTGGTCCTTGATGGAGATGGGGAACAGCTAAATGACCTGCTTTATAAAACCATCCTTCCCAATTTCACACGCCGATAGTAAATCTATATATTCCCTTTTCTCCTCTCAGCTCCACTTCCATTAATCTAGAGAAGCTTTTAAGGGTAGCCAAAAGCCCTGAAAATTCTTAGGAAATAACTAAAACAGGTCGAACAGAACATAGACCTTTTCTATGTCCCTAAAGCAACTAAAAGCCCTGCATTTTTATAGCTTCAGCATTTCTTGGCTGTGATTATGCTTTGCAGAGCTTCCAATCCTCTTACCAGAGGAAGAATCAAACCAAGGTACATATATCATAATAAATTTAGTTTAATGAATGTGGCCAGTAAGGGGAGGAAGAAGTAACAACAAGGAATTTGGTGTGATTCTCAAGAGGCTCCTGTGTAATCAGGCAAGCATGCAGTAATTAAATCGAGTGGCAATCATTCATTTGAGGGATAAATCTAATTGCTTAGAGCTTAATGCATAATAGAGGGGAAGAGAAGAAGTGGGAGAAGCAAGGTACAACTGTGGATGGGGAAATGCGGAGGCAGCCGGCAGTTCCCAGAGTGGAAAGCATCTTGCTGCAGAAGGAAAGAGACCTAAATTCATAGCTTGGGGAGCAGCAACAGTGGAACAGTCTCTAGTCCTAGCAGGGCTGTCTTCAAGTAGATTTTAATGTGCTGCTAAAAATGGCCTTGTCTGTTGAAAGGGAAGCGATGTGTCTGGGTCTGTGCAGAGCTGGATTCCTTGCAGCACCAGGCACAACAAAACAGGAGGCCAGTGGCATCCAGGTCTGTCTTCCTCAGGGGCTCTTGCTAAGAAGTGGATGCCACTAAGTATGAGGCTTGCCTAGGCAGTCAGTCTTTCTGGGGTCATTAGCCAGTCATTCCCAGCCATAGGGACACCACTCTGCAGAGCGCACCACCCAGCCTGCCTCCTGGAGGCTCAGGTACATCAGAGAGGAGCGTCTGGTGTCTGCATCCCTGCAGGGATCAGAGCAGCCACCAAGGATGCCGATGAACCTGTCCAGGCACCGCGCAGCCAGGGAAGAGCCAGGTTGACCTTGAAGAGCCTGTTCCAGGAGGTAACCATGGCCGTTCTGGAGGGAAAAAAACATATCTGCAGCCTTCCCCAAAATATCGCGGTAGACAATGTCTCTTGTACCTCAGCTTTCTCCTCTTTTCTTATACAAGAAGCAGGAAACAAATTCAAGTTTGGCATTCTCATGGCTCCTGGGTATAATCATAGGAACATGTCAGCCGATACCTTGTGGGGGAATGCTTGGCAACTTTTCCAAGTTAAACACCTGGCTTTGGAGAGGTAAAGGCTTTATCTTGGTATCGCCTGTGATTTTAAATGCTGTCTTTTGTACAGCTAAATAGTTCTTTTCAGGTTAAGAAAAAAATCGAGACCTTAAGTGAATGGCAGGGAAAGTGGGCACGAGCGAGGAGCTGGGGCGGGGAGCCAGGTACTCTGAGGTCCCTGACAGCAACATACCCTTTTCTGCTTCTGGGCGAGCTGCTCCAGCTCCTGCTCCTTACATAACAGTTTCTGCTCCAGGTCTTGACTGCGGGCTTGAAACCTCTCTGTGTCCTGCCAAGTTGGAAAGAGGGACACACGGGACCCAAATGTAGCACACCTGGATGATAGATTGTTGTTTTCCCACCTTGAACCTACTTGAGATCAGGCCCATCCTATTAGATTGTGGCCTTCTCCCACAGCCCTATAGGGCTCGGGTAGCCTGCCTGCCCCACCAGGGAGGACCAAATGAGACAGATCGTGCAAACTGTGAGGCATGATCCAAACACACAGCAAGCGTGGCATGTCTGATGACTGTGCACCGCCACCTTCCTCTCCGCCAAAAACAGGGACAGTATCAGGCAGCGGTGGGATACTGAACGGGGATAACTGGGGCCTGAGTTCAAATACCAGGCCTTAGTCTCCTCATGTGCAAACTGGGGGTGACTGGAGGAGGCACATGACCCCTCACAGGACTTCCGACTTGGATACTCTGTTCCAGGTTGGGTTGGGCACTGGCATTGGGTGCCTTTGATTGGCTTCACTCTGGAAACACAGGGCCATTACCTCTTCCTCTTGAGGGTCTAAGGGTTCCCTATTTTCCCACTGGGATTGAAGTCTCCAAGGCCCTGCTCCTCAGGATGTTTTAATACCTGCTCCTTCCCTAGGCTGGGCTTCCCCCACACAGAGGGGCTGAAGCAGGCGAGAAGGGGCCTGGCTGCGGGATGAGGAGGAACGTGTGTGGGCTGTCGGGTGCCTGATGCTCTCAGCAGAGCCAGGTCTGTGGCATAAGGGCCCCGAGCCCAGGGGGACACAACCTGGGTTCTAGCCCCAGCTTCACCCAACTAACTTGCTTCATTCTTCTGGATCACTGTTTGTTCACAGAATAGAAACAAAAATACCCATGCCATCTGCAGCACTCCACTTGCCTGAAGGCAGAATGGAGGTACAAAATGTGCAAGAAGAGAAGAAACCATTGTAATTGCCACATAACTCACTCCCAGAGCCCCACCTGGGGTTCCTGTGATATGGAATGACTCCTTCCCACATGGGATGCTGCACTAGAGGGGTGTCCTGGAATGACAGCTTGCAGCAGCACCGTGGTGGAACATGGCCCTCTCGGGCCAGAGGCCTTTAGACACTTCTGCATCCTCTATTGATATTACCAGGTTCTTCTGCCCATTTTTAGGCAGGTAAATGGGCAGAAGAACCACAGGGACAGCCTGTGATTATCCTCATGTTAACCACATGAGTGGCAGAGGTACTATCTGACCAGACAGCACCTGCTCCCAACATTCGTTTCCAGAGAATCAGCCCCAGGGAATCTGCCTCCTTCAGCTTGGCTGCTGCTCTCCGTGAAAAATGCTGGGAGCAGTGAGCAGTTCCAGAATCCCCAGGCTGATGTGACTGTCCCCACAACGGGCCTGCAGAGTGTCCTCACAAAGGTCCAGGACAGGGCGTTGAGGGGGTTGGAAGGGGCAAGTGATTAGGTCCTCCCTTCATGGTCAAACAATCTGATAAGTGTCAAGCCAGGATCCAGATTCTGGTCCGAGGGTCCAGCCTCTTCCACGACGTCAGAAACTGTAGCACCACTATCCTTGATCTATCACCAGCAAAAGCCTTTGTATCCAACGGCTTAATGGTGCTGCAAAAACATCTGAGCAGTTTTCATGTTCACGCAGAAGGCATAAATCTAAGCACTGAGTTTTAAAGGCGTTTGGTATCGAGAAGGGAGAAGGAAGGAGCAGAAGGGGACGGGAGGCTGGATCACCTGCAGTGATGCAAACTTGTCCTTGAATTTTTTTTCTCTGACCTCTCCCCTGCCCATCACCATGCCCTGGCCCAGCCTTTGCTTCTGAAATCATGTCTTTTCCTTTAGCTAGGACCTCTGACCTGTAATCATGATCCAGGCAGAGGGGACAAGATGCCCCATGGAGCTCAGCCTCTCTGTGCAGGATGTCATTTGTGATAAAGGCAGTGGCTCTCTTACAGCAGGGAGGTGGGGTGGGGAGCTGCTGTTCTCAGAAACTATCTTGGGGTCTGCTGGTGAGAAGTGTGTGAGTTCTGTCTGACATCAACTAGGTTGAGGGGCAGGAGCAGGCGGAATGCTTTCAGGCTTGACCAGACAGAGGCCTGGAAATGCTGACGAGCCTCCAGAGGGCGCTAGCTGGAGGACATGACCAGATTTTCATGAAAAGGATTCTGATTCCCTCTCAGTTTGAATGACATCTGTGATCATAAATGGAGCAGTGATGCCGATAATCTGAAGCAGCATAAAACTTATAATTGGTTCAAGAGAAAGGGTTATGATAATAGCCAGGCTTAGTGTTGAGAGGCAAGGGAAGCTGCCATCCAAGATCAAAGCCTCTTCTGCTGAGAACCCACCAAGTAGATCATCCAAAAATGGGTACTTAGAGAGTTCTCTGAAGCTTTTTTTTTTTTTTCAATTTAGTTTTATGAACATGTTCCAAGAAGGATCCTGCTTACCTTGGCAAAGAAGAGGATTTCACCAGTCCTGACCTCTTGAGACAAATGGCAGGGCTGGGTAAGGGGCTAAGAATCAGACCAGGAAGAGGGGAAGGAGTTGTCCACTCCCTCCATGGTATCCGTGGAAGGTGGGATTTGTTTTTTCTTGGCTATTAAATTTTCCAGGTGTCTAAGGGTGAAGGATGGGAAGCACAGCCTCTAAGGCTCATCCCCTTAGGGGAGCTGCTGGGCATGGGATAAACTGGGCTGGTACATTTGGATGGGCCTGCCATATTAATCTAGGAATAGGCAATGTCAGACCAAATTTAAAGGAAAGCATGAGGCTTCATCCATGCATTCTTCCATCCATCCATTCATTTAACAAATATTTGTTGAGCACCTAGTACGTTCTAGGCATTGTCTTTGTGCTAAGGATATCTTAGTTAATAAAAGACAAAATCTCTGCTCTTTTGCAACTCATATGCTAGCAGGAGGAGACAGACAAGTCAATGAAAATAAACAAGGATATTACATGTCCTGTGTGAAGGTGGAAGAGAGAATGAATAGTACATGGATGGGGGCACCACGATCTTGAACTTGGGGGAGACAGAGCAGATATGCAAGCTTGGGAAGTGCACACTTACCTTCAGAAGAAACTGCTCCTTCTCGTCTTTGATTTGTTGTTCCATCTCCTCATAGAGATGCTGGATTTCTTCATCATAAGCTGCAATTTTCCTACAGAGGTGGCAAAAGAAGAGTCTGCACTGAGGTTCCCCTATCCCACAGTAGCAGCTCTTGGCACTCAGACACCAGTCCCCCACTCTGCAGCCCCGGGTATGGGGGCGATAGCATGGGTCAGATGGTCATGGCTACAGGATCAGCTAACCCAATAAGGGATGCAGACCAGAGAGGCCTTGTGGGACCTACCCCTGCAACTGGTAGGTTTCCTGTGGCCTCTCCTCCTCCCGTCCCCCAGCCATCACTCCTAGAAGATCCCTATGCTCCTCAGTGAAGCTTCCCTGGACCATCTCCCTCTATTTTACTTTAACACAAGCCCACAGGCCTCTGCCAGACATATCATGCCTGTTCCCACTGATCCCCACGCTCGTAGACTACATGAAGTTGCATTGTGTGGGTTTCTTTCCTGTTCAGTTTCCTGGTTTCTCTTGTCCCTGTTTGCATGCTTTCTCTCTGTCTGCCTATCAGGACCTTCTGACACCGCAGTGTCAGAAGACTCTCCCTGTATGCTTGAGCTTGTGTGATCCATGTTTCTCATGAGACTCAAGAGATTCCGTGATGATGACAACGAGAGCTCCCACACCCCCCACCAAAAGCAAAGGGCACACTGTCTAGTGCCCACGCCATCCCAGGCTCCAGGGCACAGGCAGACAGTGTGAGCAGGTGAGGCTGGTTGGAGGATGGAGATGACAATGAGATGTCCCCAACCCCACTCTCCTTCTCAGCATCCTCTCCCCACCCTGAAGAGCCCTGTAGGCCAGAAAATGAGTAGTACCTAGGCAGTCTGCTTCTATAGAGCCATGAAGACAAACACAGCCATGGGGATGAGGTTTGCAGGTCATCCCTTCTGGTTCCCCCTCTCTCCTCATGATATATCCGCCTTCTAATGCCCCTCCAAATTCAAACAGGAAAAATCTGCTATTAGCATTGAACTGAAACTGGGAGTTATCATTCCAAATCATTAACATTCCCACGTAATTGCATTTTCATACCTTTTTTGCTGACCATGCAGTGAAAGAACCTCTCTGTGGCCCCTGCTCCCTATCTTCTCCCCATCGTGTTAAGGAAACTCCAGGCTCTTGAACAGGCTAATGTGGCTCTCAACGCCTGTTGTGAACATGCAACACACACAGTCTCTCTCTCTCTCTCTCTCTCACACACACACACACACAATTTTGGCCCCTGCCCTTCTAAACTTAAATGATGGCAAGCCTACTGTGCCCTTTCCTTAAGAGACTTTAATAATTTAAGAAACAGCCCTGGTTTTAAGAGGTACTAGGAAGATTTCTGAACTAAACATAAAGGATGGAAATACATTTATTCCCCTGAGCCCTCCGTCATTTTAACCCCTACCTCCCATGTCCACTTGGGCCTCCAATCCAGGACCAGATCTTCTCTGCTGCCCAAGGCTTTGCCACAGCCCAATTTCCACCCCTTTCTCACTTGCTACCTGTTGGGAGAGCATTTTCACCGTGTGCACAGGTGAACAATGAACAGAAGCCATTTTGATTGGCAACCTTCCAGCTTCACAGAAACCACAAATCTGACCCAGACAAAGGATCAGTGTGCGAGACTCCGTGGTCAGGATCATTCATCACAGGGCACAGCCTTGGAGTTCCCTTGCTTGGCTGTACCCTCAAGACCAGAAACTTGATTTTGAGTGACTGTACAATAATGGCCCACAGTGGGCTCAGCAAGAGATGACAGTCCTCAGCAAGAGACGACAGTCCTCCCAGACTTCCACAAGCTGGGACCCTGTCTTTATAGATATGTCCCGCATCCTTTACTCTTTTTGGCTAAGAGTAAGAAATCTCTTCTTGTTAAATGACAGATGTCCAGGATTGTTATTTTTGCTCTGAGCTAACTCATAAGAATTAAAATAAAACCTTGGAGGGAAAGTAAGGAAAAGGCTCATGCTATTGACCCTGATACTTCAGTGACAGAAATAGACACAGTTTGAAAGGCGTTTCAGAAAGCAAGATGTTTTCTCTTGGTCCCTAGAATTATCTTCCTGTGTTTGAAGAAACTCAGATGCTAGATGGTAAATGATATCAAGAAAAACTTCAGACAGAGATTCCAGCTATATAAATACTGTAAAACTAATAAAGTAAGATGAGAGAAACTTAAACATTGATTTGGCTCTGCTAAAGCAATTCATATAAAGTTATTCATCTAAATGGCTTACGATTTATTTCTAATAACCATGCAGGACATTAATTCTGTAATGTAATTAAATGTGGTCGACGTTTAATTTGATTGAATTAACACACTCTGTGTTTTTTATGCTCACATACCAGCTTGCTCGTATGTGAATTAAGTTATTTTACAAACCGCTAAAATAATAACTGGCAGAAAGATGTAGTCTTTGAAGAGTGCCTCCTCCTAGCCCTCACTCACGTAGGCTGGACCCACTGCAAAGAAGCCCTAGGATTCCAGGTGGGCATCAGAGATCCTGGGCCCAACCAGACTCACATATGGAACCACGCTTTTGGAAAGCTGGCCTGCAGTGAGACTCTCCAGGCTTGACTGGCTGACAAGCCTGGGATAGAACACACTCATCCCAGGAAAGGGGAGGATTAAGGTCCTGTTCACACCAGTCGTGTAGCTAAACCAGTGCAGGGATGCGAAGAAGAACCAGTTCCTTTCCTCAGCGTGACCTTGAGTAAGTGCTCTGACCTCCTCACACTGGGGTGCTGCCTGCCTATGTGCCTCCCTACACTGTCATAAAGAACAAACGAGAGTGCATGTAAAAAGTGTCAGAACCACAGAGCCCTCAGTCAATGTCAGGGATTATTTACTGTTGTCATTATAATCATGGGCTGTGGAGGCCAAAGGGCAGTGCTACCCAAGGGGAAGAGAGTCTTGGTTTCAAGGATAGAAGACCTGCTGTGTTTAGAAGCCTGATGCAACTGGGAAGATGAAGAAGAAAAAGCTCAGTCAATAAAAATGCCTGTCAGACCAATCCGTTAGAGACCCAGGCTGTGTGTGAGCAGGAGCTGCAGAGCCATGAGCCTGTGTGTGCAGGAGCTCTGCGGTGGCTGTGCGGGCAGCGGTGGCAAGTGGCGACAAGAGACACTAAACAGACGTGCACATACAGGGAGTCACGTTCCGGCAAGGCTCGCCACATTCTGCCATCGGGGGAAAGGGACAACGCATCATCTTTTCTTATCATATACATCCTTGTTGCCACAATTTCTAAAACCACTTATACTGTCTAATGCACATAAACAGACTTTGAAGTCTTCTCTGTGAAGATTTTGCCATCTATTCCAACCCTCATGACCCCTTCTCTGAACTCCGATGACACCATGTGTCTTCATTTGATCATTTAACAATTAATCTTAAATAGTCCTGAACAACTGTTTCATTTGGATTCATGCTGTCTCAATCAGGTCACAAACACGCAGGCATTTATGTCATCCACAGGGCCTGAACTCAAAATGTTAATGCCAAAAACCCATAAAAACTTAATTTACAATTTTGGCTACCAAACTCAGAGGCTCATGGGCCATTTTGAGGGAACACTAGATACCAGAGGAGTTGAAGAATTTCAGAGTTGGGAGGTTTGTCTGATCTAACCACCTGTTTTTCCAGTGTTAAAATTCTTGCAACAATACCATATCAAGTACTTAACTACACTAGGTTAGAATACCCCCAGTGATAGGAAACTTGCTGTTTCTCTAAGTAGTTATTTCATCTTTGGGATATTCCGGCTCACAGAAATCTGTCCTTCCATGACCTTACTCCTCTTCTGCATAAAAGCCTTTCATGTATCTCAGAACAGAATCAAGACTTCACAGATTTGCCTTGGGTTCAGGTCAAGGCTCTCTGCTTCCTCCAACTGTGTCTCTCACGTGGATTTTTTTTAATAAGTCCCTTTACAATTCCCTTCACACTTCTTCAAATGGGCTCTAATGATCTTTCTCAAGCTATGGGGGTGCCAAAGTGAATGCCCAGTGTGTGAGTATGATTTGTGTAGATTAGAGTGGACTATTGCCTCTTGTTCTAGATGCGGCACATTTAGCCATACAGCCTAAAACCTCATTAAGTTTTCTTGGCAGACACATTACAGTTGATGTATGCTGAACCCATTCAACAACTACATCGTAGTCTGTGTGATCGTTTTTGTTTTAAAGATGGTACTACTGAATCCTGTCTCCTTCACTGCATGCTTCTGCCATTGGTATTTTTAACACAGAGCAACAGCTCAGATGGAATTCTGTTAGATTTTGCGTTTGCTAGTTCTAATCCATCTTTCCAGCCTGTCACTATGCCATTGGTTCTCACCTGGTCCTCTAGTGTATTCAATGACCTTCCAAGTTTTGTTGACATTTTAAATCTTCAATCGGGATGTAGGCTAATAATCTATAATGTTGGTTTTTATAATTTAATTTATCTGAGAGTTATTTAAAAGACAGTTTATTAAAAGGTACAAAATATTGGTTTCTAGTTTTATTATATTATAGTAAGGAATGGTTTTGGAATCTATTGGTCATTTTTCCTCTGTAGCCACAAACATGATGAATTTTTGCATAACTTCTATGAGAGGAATATATATATATATATATTCTAATTGCATGGCACACAATTCTATATTCATCTCTAAAGCATGTTCATTGATGGTATCAAATACTTTATATGCTTCATGTACTTTTGCCTGACTAATGTGTCAAATGTGAGGCAAGTTTGTTAAGGTCTTCTAGAGTCTTTTTTTGATAATTAAGTTTTTTAAATCTTTTTTTAAAAGTTTCTACTTTATGTATCTTGCTGTTGTGTTGCTTGGTGCATAAAGCTTAATACATGCTGTATCTTCTTTATGGATAGAACTTTTTCATTACTACAGAACTTTCCCCTTTTATCTTCCTTTACTCATGTCATTGGAAAAATGTTAGACAAAATGAGGACAACAATTTGTAGCAGAGATCTCTGATAAGTAGTGGCATGTGGGCATAGCTATTCAACCTATCTTTTCTTCGCCATTCTCAAAACACTCCTGC